TTGTTGTATTTGAAAAGGTCTAAGAGAGTCTAATCGTCGTTTTGAGGCCGGAAATGGCACCCTAGAGTTGACTTGTACAGGATTCTGCAATTATTCTTTTATTATTACAAATGCTGAAATATCGCTACTCAGGCCAAACGAAATAGTTACGAAAGCTAATGGATGGCATTCGTACGCCTACATCGCTCAAACCTTCACCCGAAACGAGTATCCACGAATATAAGGCATGAAAAAGGACTGCCTCGGGTGCCATTCCAAGAATATGTAAACCACTTTTCAGCTGTTCATCACTCCAAGAAGTCGCCAAAGGGCGAATATTGTTAGATCGTGATCGTTCCGTTCCTTCTCACATCACGTTTTCTAGACTTCGAGAACGGGCAGCGATTGAACTTTGCATGAGTTAAATTTGTTTTGGTTTTCTTTGTTATCTTTTCATTTATTCTCTAAGACTCATGATCCGCCATGTAAGATTTATACACAAAAAAATTTGTTTTGCAGGAATTAAGTCTTACCTTTCCTTTTAAAACTTGCTTTAATGAAGGAATATTAGCTTCGATTCATGAATATCAATAGCTCTATATTGCTATAGGAGTATGAAACATTGTCTAGACTCCTAACTTAACCAGGCCAGGCAAAAGCCATGGAAAAGGCCTTTGCAGTTGAGACGACAAGCTTCCCAGCAGGCTACCATTCTCTGGTTAATCCATTTGCCCCAAAGATGTAGACCAGCTTATACCTATACTCTGCAGGTTTATGAAATTTCATATAAAGCACAGTACAGGTAGTTAATTTCACTTTAGTATAATTTCAGAGCTGAGCGAAGAGTTTCCAGCAATCTGATTGGTCGAGCGGTTCCTTAGTTGGCTCAGTAGTTGTAGTTTGAACAGTGGCGGACGAAATTTAGCGAGTTTTAATCAAAATTTTTTTCGGACTTTTCTTGCCGCGATAGGTCTGAATTGTATTTTTCCTTTTCGTTTAGGATCTAAACTTCAATTATCGGCATAAAAATTTTGTTTTGAAGAACATCAATTTTCGTCTCAGTAGCACTTCAACATTTCATCCCAAGCCTCCTAAAAATGCTCTTTCCAATCTCCTAAGTCTAGATATATAAAAAACATGACTCCACATTGCAAGTCTTGCAGAAAAATTCGTGTAAAAATATCTGGAAGAGGAAAAAGGCACGTGGTCCGAAGGCATTATTTATCTAGAGGTGCTGATAAAGTGTCTTTATTCGATCGTAAACATCGACGAAGGTTTTTCTTTGAAGCAGTTGTGTACAGCCGTTTTAAAGAGAGTATAACGGGGGTTAGGAAACTAAAGAGACTTGGGTGTTTTCTTTATTTAAATCACACCCTCTCACCTCCCCTCTTCCCTCCTTTAGCAACTTAGCTACACTGGTGACGCCGGCCACAGTTTTCTGATAGGTTTAATTATTCATATTGCATTGGTGAAATCTAGAAAATGTGTCTCAAAATGCGTCTCTAAACAAGCTAAGTATTCGTACAATTGCTGTTTTGCTTTAAGTCAAACGTTTATTGTTCAAATTTTATATCGAGGAGAATCATGAAAATTGTAACTGCCAATAAGGGGAGTTGGGGTCATTAGAATACTATTGGCACTTACGGAGGGTGGTCAGGTAAGTTTTATTGTGACACAGCCAAAATTCTACCTCAACAATAAAAACAGTTAACGATGGTCGACATTTTACTCTCCACCACAGCATTTCTAGAAAAACTTTATCATCCTTGATGACTTTAACAAAGAATCTTCCCTGCAACAGCCGTTCAGCCTTTCCATGCTACTTAATGAGTTCCCGAACAATAGAATCTTCAGTTTTCGTTAAGCGCGACATCATGTTAAGTGTCTTTGATGACTATAGGGTCACCATTTTGTGTAACTATCTCAATCGCCTTGTTCCAAGTAAAGTTCCTCACTCTCGATGTAAATTTTTTAGTCGTCCAAGTGTAAAGCTAGGATTACGCTGGTTTCTATTGACTTTCCCTACAAAAATTTATGTCAGACACTATCTGAAATAAAATCATTTTTGGATGAGGAAAATGTAAATAGTTTCAAAAATTGATTAGAAATAGATGTCATATGTCTACCATCTGCATGAATTAAAAGTCCTGAGGGCATTTAAAAGATCAGATACGACCTGTGCGTCCTGCTAAGACAATTGAAAGACATGGAAAGATGTTCGGGTAAACACGTTGTTGAAACGCACACACAATTGAGTGATACAAATTCTACCTTAATATATCTTTATCGTTTATTGTGGTCTAGAATAGAAAAAAATTGGATCCTTTGTGTTTCACTTCATGTCACATTTCAAAATTAATGATAATTAATGCAGGACACCCGAGCTCTGTGACGTACTTGGCAGGCTGTAAACCTATTTAACAAAACAAACGTATTTGAGGATGTTTCTAAGGAGATGCTGCTAAGAAAATACGATTAAAGAGCTTGTTGCTGAGCTGATTTGTTCAGACGACGGAATATATCTCTTTGCAATAACAGGTACCTTTCGAGAAAAAGGAGTCAACCGTTTATTGAGCTGCGAGGTGATGGCGACAAATTTAACAGGAGGTAGAACACAGCTTAGTTTTGAAGAAGTGACTTTATGCACCCCTTCGGTGGATGAGTTGTATTAACCGATCAATTTTGTTTTACAGCGGTGCACATTCTTTTATCCGTCACAGCATTTCTTGGGAATTCTTTCATCCTTGTTGCCCTTCACAAGGAATCTTCCCTCCAGCCGCCGTCCAAACTCTTGTATCGTTGTCTGGCAACAACTGATCTGTTGGTTGGTCTTGTTGCCCAGCCTCTCTGTGCTACCTTGGTCTTCTTGGATCCCTGGACTCTCGAAGACTGGAAGATTTTCCGTTACGTAAATAATGCGACCTTCATCACAACCTTTGTGTTATGTGGAGTGTCTTTATTGACGATGACGGCTATAAGTGTTGACAGACTTCTCGCCCTGTTGTTGGGGCTGAGATACAAGCAGATCGTAACTTTGAAGCGCATATCTATCATTGTAGTTACCATTTGGGTTTTAACTATTTTTGCTTCTGTATGTACCATTTTTGATAGGCGTATAACCGTTTTGTGCGGTTACATATCTTTCCCAATTTGCCTGATGATCTCAATCGCCTCATACACAAAAACATTTTGCGTTCTTCTTCACCATCGAGCTCAAGTACAAGATCATTCCAGTCAACAACAGCCGAGCCAACCAAATGTACTGAACATGGCGCGATACAGAAAGGCAGTTTTCAGTGCGCTGTGGGTGCAGTTAGCACTAGTTGTTTGTTATGCACCACGTTTTGTGGTAGAAATTATATCCAACCACAGTACGACATATCCATTGCACTTATGGGTCATTAGGGAAATAGCAGTGGTCTTAGTTTACTTTAACTCGACATTAAACCCGTTTCTTTACTGCTGGAAGATCAGTGAGGTGAGACAAGCTGTAAAGCAGACAATCAGGCAAGCACTTTGCTGTACATGGAGTTAGATCCCTTATGCGTTGTAGTCGTATTTAGATACTTTAAAGCTGACCTTTAAAATAATGGGTTTTTCTAGAAAGCTCTTAGGATATTTTATCAAAAGGAAGAAATGAGAGACTCAACAAAACCGTCGCACAAGCTGTCGTTCATATTGTTTATTTTCATATGGAAGACATAGTACCTCTTATCCTGAAAACGACAGCACATAATTAAACAAAACAAAAGATATGCGCGCATGGTATAGAAAGGAACGAGATGTTTAATTTTACTCTCTTGTCTTATACTAAAGTATGGAGTAAAACGGAGAGCTGTTGGAGTTTTAGTTGCAATATTTTGGATTTTTTGTTCTTTCTAAAGCGAATTTTGTTTTTAGTTATTTAATGTGTTCCTCCGTTTCCGGGCCCAAAGCGCTAAACAAACGTGTCTGCGATTTGCCATATTCAGTTTCAGTGAAAAGTTACGAACATTTTTGAAATAGGATTAAAAAATGTGGAGTGACCATACAAAAATCGCTCTTGAAAAAAAAGGATTTAGAAATAAAAATTCGGAGACAAGTTTTTGTTGTTTATATGTAAAACTAGCTACTGTCAAACTTTGAGAACAATCGAACAAATTCCCTTTGACTTGTATCTCTTAAAAGGTGATTCGGGCGCTCGCATTTAGAAGTCGTGAAAAATTCGACAATTAATTTTTTTTCAAAATTTTTGGTATAGTCTGTCTGATAGCCAGTCCTATAAGCTTTAATTTGATATAGGCGTTTAGATATCTACAGTTTAAACCGGACGCGCTATATCGCTTGCACGCGAGACACCCCTGAAGGTGCACGGTAACCTTAATTGGAAACTGAATCGTACTTCTCTGTAGAGAACGCCGTAGACTACTTGACTTTGAAACTTAGGCATAACGAAAAGTTTTCTCCATCACGCTATTGTCATAGCATGACAGCACGACTCAAGTTGCGCATATATGTCATGTTTGTTTGTTTGTTAGTTTGTTCGGTTGCTTTGATTGTTTTCGTACTCTTGGCGAATGATATGCCGTCCAAGGCTCCCCGTTAAAGTGTTAGGAAATCTGAAAAAAAAATTTTTTGCCAATGTGTCGCAAGAAAAAACTCTGTTGCTGTATAATTTTGAACGAGATATTTTTGAAATTTCTCGTGATAGGCTGATGCAGCAGTCTCGCCTTTCAGAACAGAATTTTCCCCCTTTTTTTAGCATTTACTGCGCCTAAATTTTCACCCTTTGATGTATGATGTAAACACGTGAACGCATGTGCTAATTCAGTCCGTTACTGTACGAAAAGCATTCTAACCAAAACCAGTTAGAATTTTGATTAACTACTTTGTGGTTACGTAGTTAAAATTGCTAAAGACTAAAATTTAACTTCTATTAAGGATAATATTACTAGGGTGGTGAGCTTTGCGAAGAAGATCGAATCATGTTCACAAGCCAACGGAAAACCAAAATATTAAATCGTGACCTCTTCGAGCTTTCATTTTCCCTCAAGCGTGTAACAAAACGGTTCACTTAGTAACACGAGCAGTTTGGATGAAGTTGAATACTGTTATAAGCATGACGAAGTCGGTTGAAACCGAAAATTATAAACTGTTTCTTTCTACTCATTCGTAAGACATGAATTTATTCTGTGGCTATGCTATTTCACTATTTATTTGCCAAGTTGGACTTGGACGTCATATTTTAGCCCTTGATTTTCATAAATCTGAACTATGGCGCAACTACATTAATCTTCATCCTTTTCAATTTTTTTTCGCTAATGTGGCTGGCCGTTAAGAATCATGTCTTTTCGAAGGTCAATATTACATTAATATTAAAATTACTTGTAGCCTGGGCGTGAGGGTGTGGGAAATGAAAGAGAAGAAAGGCGTCACTGAGCTGTTGGAAATTTCATCATTGAGCATTCATTACTGTATTTTAGCTGTTAAACGTTGTTGTTGCCTTGCTCATCGAAGGGAAAATCGCATGAATAAAAGTAGCCCCTTAAATGGTCACGTGGGCAAACTGCAAATTCAAATGGAAACGGTCGCATTTTGACCGGTCCCTACAGTTAAGTGACTTTGGCAGTATTTCCAAACCGTCGTTTTCGCGTATGATTTATTTAGATTGTAATGCATGCACATGGAGTTAATGACAAGTGGGTTGTAAGGGTATCTTTCATGCCTTGTCATTAGGGTCTCATCTCCCCTTTCCCGGCTGTTCTCGCGCTGCTCGTCTTTCTTCTCACTGTCTGTTTGCATCATCCTTGCGAGAGCCCGTTCACAAGCTAGGCCTTTTCTTGTCAGCGTGTTAAAAATTTTTAACAAAGGTGTTTCTCAGATGTACAATTGTAATGTTCATTCGTGTGACTTATTTCTTATAGTTACATCTGACTACATTATGATTTTTGTCATGAAAGACAATTTCAAACCTGTCCATGTAGGCTTTTGATTGTTGCTGTCATGTATTTTTTATCATGAAATTCAGCATGTCCACAGTACAGTTTATAACACGATAATATCACATGTCCAAGTTCTTTATCAATGTTCAGATGTATGTACGTTGACTCAGTGTTAGAGTGCTGATTAAGTCCCTGAAAATTTAATATGTCTCTTTATCTGTACACATATGCATCACATATGTTCTGTTTGCTGACCAATGCTGAGAGGATAACAAACTGCATGCTCCATTTATGGGTGTGATATAGTTCCTGGTGCTAAAATGCAGTTACATATTGTGTTCTTAAATAAATATAATGTTCGGTGGTGGTAGATTTAATTTGGCATAAAATATACGAGTATCAAATGAGCTTCTCAACTTAGACTTGGCAGCCGCATGGTACAATGTAGTGAAGAACAGCTGGTCCTGTTGATTTGAATGTATGTTTGATGTTCATAGCATTTGGACCGTCTTGGTTGTCCCTCTTTGACATTTAGCATGTTACACTTTTGAATGAATTTATGTACTGGAAACGGTCGATTACATCAACTAAAGGCAAGTACATTGTAGAAGTTGATACATCAATACGGACACTTTCCACAATGCTCTCAGGATGCTTATTAACACGCTTTGATTGTAATTGATTTAATATTATTTTTCATTAACTGTTTCAGTCTCAAGTTCTTGATGGTTATTCTCCTTCCACACATAATTTGTTAGTGTTGAGAATTTGCTGTTACACTGGACAATATTCCCTTGATGATTATTTTGTTTATTGTCATCAATTGTCTATTCAACATCATTTTATGATACTGGTGATGGGATGTTTATAACTCCTAGTATTCTAAGAGTTAAACCATAGGTGCTTGGTGTTCATGAGGAATGTTATCTACATGAGCAAATATATTTATTTGTCCTAAATTGCAAGCAATTATCTCTGGAAAAATTTATTATTAGTGACTAGTAACTTTACAGGTTGTGGGAACTATTATTTTTAATATGAAGGTGAGCACAAAATGTCACATTAGTTACAGAGCTGTCAATGACATTAAGATTGGCTTATGGTCACTATAATAAGTCCCTCTTGTACTTACGGGTTGTACAAGGTGTGGCACATTTGTACATGTGTACATGTGATCTATCTGTTTACAGTAGTCAGTAGTATACTGGTTAATCAACTTTGTGTATCCTCTGTTAACTATTAGAAATGCTTTCAGAGCTTATTCTTAAGTGTCCTCCTGCATCAGGTTGATATTGAAATCTCCAAGCAGTACTGTAGGAATTGTAGGTTCCATCGATATTGAGTCATGAAGATGAGTAAGGGCTTCAATCAGCGGTGAAATTTTAACAAGTGGTGTAGTGTACTGGGAACTAGCCTACATCCGGGGAACTGAGCGAGAGGTGTTGTGATTAAAGAAGCGAAGCGGTTGTGTTGTGATTGCTGACTTTGTGTCGTTTCATTTCGGTTGCAAACACTACATTGGCGACGAGGATTTGCCTCAATGGCTGAGAGAGCCCTTCCAACGCTAGATCTATCGGGATCTTCATCACAAGTGGCAAACAAATGGAAGAAGTGGAAACGAGCGTTTGATTATTATGTTGAAGGAAAAGGCTTGGATAACGCGAGAAAGAAAACTTCACAGTTTCTGTACTATGCAGGAATGGAGGTACAGGATATTTTCGAGGATCTTGTCGACCCCAATCCGGCGGGTGATGACGATCCATACGCAGTCTGTAATAGGAAGCTCGATCAACATTTTCGCTCCGACGAAAATATTCCATTTGAGCGCCACGTGTTCCGGCAGTTGGCGCCAACGGACGGTGAATCGGTGGATAAATTTTCGAGGATCTTGTCGACCCCAATCCGGCGGGTGATGACGATCCATACGCAGTCTGTAATAGGAAGCTCGATCATCATTTTCGCTCCGACGAAAATATTCCATTTGAGCGCCACGTGTTCCGGCAGTTGGCGCCAACGGACGGTGAATCGGTGGATAAATTTGTTGTGCGTCTCCGTCGACAGGCAAGAGCTTGTAATTTTGGCGATGCTCTCGATGATAACATACGTGATCAGTTAATTGAAAAATTGTCCGACATGGAATTCAAAAAGAAGCTGTTGGAAACCAGAAACATTACTTTATCACAAGTCTTGGAGAAAACGAGAGCTTCGGAAGCGGCGGGACAACAAGTAAAGCACATGGCAGGTTTAACGGACGTAAACGTGGTCGGACGAGGGAAGGATAAGACTAACGATCAGTCAGCGAAAACGTGCTTCAGTTGCGGAAAAGTCGGACATTTTTCACGGGATCTGTGCTGTCCAGCAAAAGGTAGGAAGTGTTCTAGCTGCTCGATGTATGGCCATTTTGCAGTGTGCTGCAGAAACGTCGACTGCAACGTTCCTGAGACAAGACGAGGGCTTCGTCCAAAGAGCACCAGCGATAATCGTACGGTATTCCGAAGACAAATAAGCCAAGTGGAAGATTATGGGGCGAGTAGCAGTCAAGAAGAAGAAAATCCTGCCTTTGCGTTTACTGTAATGGAAGAAAAGGAGGAGGGTGTTTGCAAGGTGTCGACTGCAAGTAACGTACCAACGATGAATGTGAGTATTAATGGCATTGTTCAGGAAGTTTTGATTGACTCAGGGTCTGTGAGCAATTTGATGGGGAAAGATGATTTTCAAAAATTGTCGAATGCGGGTTTCGAAGGGAGCCTCGAACATTGTTCAAAGAAATTGTTTGCCTATGGTGGCAGAGAAATTGAGGTCGTTGGCCAGTTCAAGGCGGAGATTGCGGTGGGAAATGCAAAGGTAGTTTCCAGTTTTGTCGTAGTTAAGCGTGGGCGTTGTGTCCTGGGGAATGCTACTGCCAAGGAGCTAGGTGTTCTCCACATTGGTACAAAGGCCAGTCTCAGTGAGGCCAGTTGTAATGAGGTTAAGAGTGACTTTGCCGACCAGCTCAAAGCCGAATACCCTATGGTGTTCACAGGAGTCGGGAAATTAAAAGACTTTGAGTTGAAACTGCATGTTAACCCCAATGTACCACCAGTGGCACAAAAGTTAAGACGAGTTCCTTTCGCGCTTCGAGACAAAGTGAAAGCCAAGATCGAAGAACTGTTAGAAGGGGATATCACTGAGAGAGTGGAGGGCCCCACCCCATGGGCTAGTCCCGTTGTCGTAGCACCCAAGCCGTCAAGTGATATAAGACTTTGTGTGGATATGCGTCGCGCAAACGAGGCCATCATCCGAGAACGGTTGCCGATACCCACTGTGGACGAAGTATTAGAAGAACTAAATGGCAGTACTGTCTTTTCGAAGCTGGATCTGCGTCATGGTTTTCACCAGGTACAGCTGCATGCCGATTTCAGAGACATTACCACCTTTATAACACATGACGGTTTGTTCCGTTATAAAAGGCTAAGTTTTGGGGTCAATGCGGCACCTGAGAAATACCAACACATCATCAGTCAGGTCGTAGCAGACATTGATGGAGTTGTAAACATCGCTGATGATTTGATTGTTCATGGAAAAACAGTTGGGGAGCATGACCAGAGCTTACACAAGCTGTTAGCTAGGCTGGGGGAGAAGAATCTTACCTTGAATTGGGAGAAATGTACCTTTGAAATGGGTAAAGTAGTTTTCATGGGCATTCTCCTTTCAAAGCATGGCATAGGGCCCACGGAGGAAAAGGTGCGAGCAGTGAGAGAGGCAACCCGTCCGTCGTCGGCCTCCGAAGTGAGAAGTTTCCTGGGCCTTGTGGGCTTTAGCTCGAGATTTATTCCTGATTTTGCGACCAAGGCAGAACCTTTACGAGTACTATGTCGAAAAGATGAGAAGTTTCTGTGGGGGAAGGCACAAGAGGAGGCTTTCAACACACTGAAAGAAGACANAAGAGAAAAAGAGTGTTAGATTTAGCCCATGAGGGGCATCAGGGCATAGTGAAGACCAAGGAACGTTTAAGATCCAAGGTGTGGTGGCCAGGAATTGATAAAGAAGCAGAGAAGAAGTGCAGAGAATGTTTTGGCTGCCAGATGGTATCGAAGAATGTTCCGCCTCCACCCATTAAGCCCACAAGATTACCTGAGAGAGCTTGGCAAGAGGTTGCAGTTGATTTGCTTGGGCCCTTACCTACTGGAGAGCACCTTCTTGTGGTGGACGATTATTTCTCGAGATGGATGGAAGTAGACGTGCTTCGCTCTACTACAAGTGCTGAAATCATCACATGCTTAGACAACCATTTTGCAAGATATGGTGTACCAGCCGGTTTACGAACTGATAATGGTTCCAATTTGGTGTCAGAGGAGATGGAGAAGTATTTGGAGGAAATGGGAATCGTGCATCACTACAACACACGTTTGTGGCCCAGAGCCAACGGAGAGGTCGAGCCCCAGAACCGCACACTTCTTAAGGCCATGAGAGTATGGCAAGCGGAAGGGAAAGATTGGCGGCTGGAGCTCAACAAGTTTCTACTGGCCTACCGATCGACTAGTCACACCACGATCAGTGTTAGCCCAGCGGAGTTGTTTTTCAAGAGGAAATTAACAACCAAGCTGCCAGAGTTTACGGATAGTGGAGAGAATCAGATGGATGCGGTTTTGCAACAAGTGAGAGATCGGGACTCTGAAAAGAAGCAGCAGGCAAAACACTATGCTGACACAAGATATCACGCCAAGGATAGACCCATTGCTGTGGGAGATGCTGTGCTGCTTGAGAAAAAGAGAGAGAACAAGTTATCCCCATCGTATGAGAGTCAACCTTATGAAGTGACCGCCCGTTATGGGGACCAAGTCGTCCTGAAGTCACCCCGAGGAGTTGAGTACAAGAGTAATTTGCAGTATATCAAACGCGTCGTGGGGGAACCAGTAACGGATGCAGAATACTCTACAGAGTCAGGAGGTGATACTCCGGAACTTGCCCCCAGTTCTGCATTGACTGACCAACCCGTTCAAGAGACTACACCTACAGGAGTGACAGTTGCGGGTACTCCGCGGCGCTCGGAAAGAGTTAGCCAACTTCCAAAGGCCTCGGCTGACTTTGTACTTTACTGGACATTTCAGAATTCGCTTTCTCTAAGGAACTTGTATAGGGACATAAACACTGTTGACATTGGTTTTGTTTAGAATAGATATCTTTGAGCAGGTTCACACCGGGGACCTTCGTTTAAGTTTGTGTTCGCACAGTTTAGTTTATTTGTCCCGTTTTGAAGAGGTCTAGGACTTAAGTTGTTCCGTTTCATTTCTGTGGAGAAAAAGAGAGATTGTAGTCTACTGGGAACTAGCCTACATCCGGGGAACTGAGCGAGAGGTGTTGTGATTAAAGAAGCGAAGCGGTGGTGTTGTGATTGCTGACTTTGTGTCGTTTCATTTCGGTTGCAAACACTACAAGTGGTATATACCTACAATGTGGAAATTTGGAACTAGATGGCTAAGAATTGTTACAGTTATTGTAATTTCTACATTATTTCAAAACACTTCATTTTTCCCCTGTTGTGGCAAGACCTATGCATTATGGAGAAATTTAATGTTTAAGCATGCCTGTGTACACAATCAACGGGTCTCATTTCCAGACCCACAGAGATTAATCTTTCCAAACTCATAATATCTGCTATCACTATCATGCAATCACTTGAACTAGGGTTAAACAAGGAAGTTTACTCGTTTCAAAAAACAATAATAGTTTTGGTAATAATTAAAATAAAAACAAAGTAGAAAACGGCCTTTTCATCGCTCCATGTCTGCAGATCATCTTCAATGTCAAAACCAAAGTTATCTCTCTCAACCATACAGCCACTCCAGGTAGGCTTGCCAATACCAATAACACAATTTAAAAGACATTTCTATATATACCTGCTTGCGTTAAACTACTGCAAAGTTCTTCAAACCATAGAAGATCCAGTAATGAGAAGTTATTTTATTCTTTCCATCTATGCAAATCACCTTCAATTAAAAGGTTATATAAGGAGGGTAGCTACAACTGGTACTCCCAGTTGGGATGCAATTGTCAGGAAAATATTTGAAAGACAATAATTCCTATTTTATTTGGTTTCTTTTTTCAATTGATATTGGACATATTGCTCTTTTTAGTTTCCCAAAAAATTTCAAGAGTTCTTTGACCTAAAAGAAATGGTTCTGGTCAGTGATTACAGGAAAAAGGCTTTTAAGCTCGTGCTGCTTAACTTAAGGTCGGAGTTCCCATCGGAAATGTACCTGACAGCCAGGTCAAGGCATTCCTCAAGGGGTAAGTTTGTTAAAAAGCTATCTATCTATCTTTTTCAGACAAAGATAAATCTTGAAGGAGTCCAAGGTACAATGTACAGTTGGAATGTGTGGGATGTTGGCAGATTGCAAACATATTTAGCCAGGTTATAGTTGTATGTTCCAGTAGAGGACACAATGGAACAAAATGGGAGGATGCACTTGTGTCCATATACATTGGCCCTTTTTCTGTTGTCACACATGAGCATTTTGTTATGCGCTCTAAATTCTACTCTGTACTTTGTATACATCAGAACTAAAGATGACAGAAGAACTGCTGAAACATGTTTTTTATAAAAATGTTGTTTATTTTCTTAAATAAATACACCGTAAGTAGTATTGAAGTTCAATATCAATATGTCCTCATTGTTCACTTGATGAATCTACCTCAAAAAAGAAATTAGGGTGTTGATTTCCACTATTCATGGTTTTGCTGCATCCACAAAGTATACATTACTAGGTATAGGCACTTTCAGTCCTGATAATAATGTGTCTGCTGGTTAAATTGCAGTCTTTCATTGTTGAGGTAGAAAACAAAACCAAAACACGACCGATGATCGTCCGTTTCAGTAATTACAACGCAAAACATCAACTTTATAAAGCCAGGGTAAATCTACGAAATGCAACTTTACATGACCAAGGAGCGGAAAAGATCTTTGTCAATGAAAACTTAACCACATAGACTGTCAACAGAAGTATCTCTTTGAAAAGTTTTAAAGATTGACGATGATGAGGATCTAAGAACCCTTTTAACTCTAAACATGATCGCTAGAAATTCGCTAGGGGACTTTTTTCTATTACTGTTTTCTTATTTTCTGGTATATATGAAAATCAGAATATGCTTCCTTGTACTTAAGATTAGAATAGAACTGATAGCATTCCAGACGTCTTCCTTGATGTCCTGGCCCCAGCATGCGAAAAAAATTAATTCAAGATTTCCTGGTAATTTCAACTTTTTTTTTTACCACGAGTATCCATTAACACGGGAAAATCATGACTCGAATTCTCTGGTTCAAAGATCTGGGAAACCGTACCCACCAATTTTACCCGCCTCCCAGTTACCTCAATTAGTTAGAGCGCCAGTTTGTTGTGTGGGAGGTCGAGAGTTCAAACCCCGGCTGGACCAACACTCAAGGTCTTAAAATAACTTAGGAGAATGTGCTACCTTTCTATAATATCAAGGAATGGATAGACATTCTAGTCTTCTCGAATAAGGACGAATAAACTGTAGGTCCCGTCTCCTGCATCTATTAAATAGTTAAGTTGGGGCCAAGTCGCACTAAAGGACAAAACTGTTTAATTATATCAAAAATCTGTCATCACGATGAAAAACCAAGTGCGACCGGTTTGATCATCAAAGGACAAAATTTGGTCGTGGAAGGACAAACTTCAAAGATGACGTCGACTACCTCTGGAGCAGGCCAAATTGAGACAAATTTTGGAAACAGTAGCTAGGGTGTTTTAATTCGGAAATGATTTGACAGGTGATATGCAGCACAATCTCTATGCTATAGACTTCGTTGTAAAATTAATCACGTTCTCATTTCGCAAAAACATGAATCGCGGCCCGGGCGACCAATTTTTTCCGTGTGAATATCCACAATATCGACCAGGATGGTTCTATCCTTTGCCAGGCCCTTACATGGTTAATGATGATCGAGGAAATCCCAGCCCATTCTCGTTCGACCACGAGTACTGACTCGTTGCCAGAATCCCTCCAGTTCAGCGAATATAGTTAAATGCCGGCATCAACCTCATCCTCTTCGCGCCGTGCATCTTCGTCATCCGAGAACAAGAAGGCTCAGGACAGTGGAGTAAAGAAGAGGAGAAGCTTTTAGTTCAACTGTGGGCTGAAAAGCATGATCAGTTAGAAAGCCGAGAGTCAAGGAAAACGTGGGCTTGGATCCCCGAGAAGATTTAGAAAACACTCGGAACCAACAAGACGGCCGACAAATGCATTCAGAAAATAAAGTACATCATTGAACGATGTAAGAATGCTAAAGACTGGAACAAAAATCAAACAGGCGGAAGCCTCGGGAAATCCGTGCACTACGATGAGGTCGATAAAATCCTCGGTTGCTTCGACGTAGTAACCTTCAATCATGTAGCTGAGGCGGGAATCAGCAGCGAAAGTGCCACGGAAATTAATGCGGGACCTAGTGATACTACTAGCGAGATTAGTACTTCATCCAGCCCCAGCTTGCCAGAAACTCCAGCTGAAAGGAGACGAGCATCAAAGAAAGGGAAACGCGCTGCCAATCGCAAAGCGCCTGATAATGAGAGCGACGATGAGGCTCTAAAGAATGTGAGGCAGCAGGGGGAGAAAGTAGCAAGATTCTGGGATTCTTTGCAACAAACACACACGCAGCAGCTTGCCATGATGAGCCAGTTTATGGGATCAATTGTGAAAATCCGTGACAAGGAAAAGAATGAGAAATGAACTTTAATTCAAGACCATTTTCGACTCTTGAGACAACCATCATCATGTTCATAATGAACATCGCGCTTCTTCCCTCTTTTCGCAGTAACCTCTGCCATACTAAAATCTTGAAAGGCATCGTGTAAAGAGTTCTGGGTTTTTTGGCAGCCCTCGGCCATGTGGCAGCGTTCGGCCAGGAAAAAAATTTTTTCCGACCGCGAAATAAAAAAAAAAAAAAAACTAGTGGCAGCGCTCGACCGGGTAGTATTTAATTTAGATTTGATTTCATTTATCTTTGGTTTCATTTTATTTCTATTTTACATTTTACTTTCACTTGCTTTTATTTTCAAAAGAAAAATGAGAAATAAATCGAAATTTTAAAAAAATAACAAAAATAATTCCTATAAATTTGAATATTTTCAATGGCAGTTCTCGGTCACCATAGACAACTAACTAAAGCGACGTTCAATTACGACATATGACGACCACAGGAAGAGTATCTGTCAAGAGACAAAATATTTACTCGCCCGACAAAAAATTGTAGGCCTCCAAACCTAGTTGATAGCCTGCGTCGCAGACAATCTAAACCGCCGATACACCGGGGATTGTGTGACACGTCCGGCTGCAACGCAGGTTACTAGTTGACGGCATCTTTGAAGTTTGGTGGCTATTACGAAAATTTTGGTGGGTAAAAAAATCGTTCGCACTGAAAATGGTCTCGCGTTGACAGATTTTTTTGCAAAACAAACAAAATTTCGCGTAGTGCGAACAGGCCCTAATAATCACCGACACCTGAAATCGCGACCAGGTATTCGTTGCGACTCCCCAAGGTTTAATTGTTTTCCAATTTGTCCTGGTCGCTGCCGATCACTTCTTGCGTAAAAACTTACGAAACCTTTGAAGTGGAACTAGGGTGGCTACTGTTGCTTGCCGATATTATCCGTCGACAAAACGTAGAAGTCAGTAAAAACGACCGATTCTGCCAGGGAAATTTTATTGTCTGGAGCTTGAACTTGTCAGGAGAGTTTCCTTGACAGCTAGATTACACCCTATGTTGTGATACCAATTGTGAAGACATCGCGTTTATTCTTCGCTTTTTTTGTCCCATTTCTTCGCTTCGTGATGTTACAGTAACACGGGAAATCTAACCGGATTTATTGTCGAATATGAGCTTTCTGTGGGCTCTTAGTTTAATGTCCACGTGCAATCCGCCAAAACCTAGCGCGTGTGCCTAAGTTATTCGGCACTGTCACAGGTAACGCAATCTCGATCGCAGACACGTAGAAAAACATCCATCTCCAATGGAAAGCCAATTTTATGATTTAAAGGATAAACAACAAGCCCATCTAAAACCACCTATAACCACCTACAACCACCTTCAGAATACTATTGTGACAATGTAAATGCACACCGGAAATGTTATCGCATGTCTCGCCTGTCTCGCCTGTCTCGCATGTCATTACCAGGGAAAATCACCAAGAGAACATTGTTTATACAGGAGTAGCACCAAGAGCATTTAGGTTTTTTGAGTAATAGATAGACTACGTTTTCGTGGTCAGTGTTTTCAAGGTCTGAGTTTTCGAGGTCTGCGTTCTCGCGGTCTGCTTTGAGGTCAACTGGACACCAAGCAGGACCCCCCAGTAGCAGGAAATTTGACGAAGTTGCGTAATTATTTTGTTTATTTTTACAGCCGTGTGAAATGTACGGCTTCATTTCTGTGTTCTGCCGGCGGGATGCCACTTTGTCACCGGAATAGTAAGGAACGTATGGAACAACAGGGAAATCAAAAGCAATCAAAACCAAGAACTAAAATCGGAACAAATTGAAGCCAGCATGTCCGGCAGATTGCGAGAGCTGATTGAATCGATCTATTTCGCGTGTGGTACTCATGTTGCATGTAACTGCGGTAATTTTAGGGAATTTATAAGCTACATGCGTCTCTCGAGATTTGCAAGTTCTGTTTATCACAGCTGTTACATCGTTTAAACTGTCACTGTTCTTTTCCCAGTTTCGTGTTACCAGTTGAGTTCACTTCTCTGAACAATAGTTTCTCATTTTACGCTCACTACGCAGCCCAATTTAAAGCAGTTTAAAATGTTTATCTCCCTGTCTGTTCTACGAAAAAAAAATCAAAACAAAACAAACAAAAAAACCGAATAAATTGTGAAGTAATGGGAAATTAGAGCTTCACCATCAGCCTTTTGTGCATACAAGGTGACCATGACTCAACGATGATAATTTTAGATAAATAAGAGTGTGCGCATTTTCATAATCAACCAGGAAATTGCATCGACTATTATTAATATTAAGTTTATCATCCTCTTCTTCCTTCAATCATTCCCTGATTTGCTACTAATGTAAGAAAAACAAACAGCCACTCTTGACCTTAAAATCAGAACAAAGACTGTTTTTTCGGAAAACTGGATTCCTTATTAGCTCTGTAAGCAGGAGTTACATACATGAGTTGTAATTCTGATACACTTAATCTCCGCTGACCAGTGAAACACCAACAAAATGGCGACTTAGGATTTGAGAGCAATTTTTGCAGTGCAGGCTAACAAACTGGTGACCTCGAACCCTATTTCATCTCCCATTCAATGTGCTTTATGTGTTCAGGCATTCTATGAGTGTTAAAAAAGCGGTTTATACTCATTTTGGAGCCATCAAACAGATGAATTATATGGTTCGACCCCTCTTGTTCGGCAAATATATAATATAATATCTAGATTTAGCCAAGCCTAACAGCAGAGCTCCCAAGTTCGTAATGTTGATGATAACATAAAAGATGTGCATTTGCCAACACTCACCTGAGACAACCCTCCCTTATATTTCTCCTACCCTACCCTACCCGTGCAATCTGAAGGTGTTATGTACTGTATAACACAACAGACCTCACGGTTTACTGCATCCATGATGCTTATAGTATTTTCGCGATAGCATACATGACAAAGGGTACGTACGCTCGGTCAGTCACGTGACAATCAAACAAAAAGAGGTTGGGGCTCTGCCACACGAAGCGCGCGTGGGAGCTGGGCTATAAACATGGTTTGACCCCTCCCGGAAATATATGGCGACCCCCTCTAGGAAATATGATTCAACCCCCCAGGAAATATGTAGCATTGAACCCCCCTCCCCCTAAGAAATCCCGGGCCTTCAACAGGGGGGGTGCGGATATTAAATGGAATGGCCCATTGTTTATGTTACGAATAGATGAAACGGAATTATGGAAACAAATGAAAGTAGTTTTGACTGATTTGTTTTCATTGTGAGGACAGAAAATATTCTTTGATAAACTTTTGAACAATAACAATAGCTATTTAACTGCTGAAAATATTTATACAGTAATGGAAATCGTTTCTAATGATTCAACATGCATGTCAAGCACAAATTACAATGAAATATTTTTCATAGTATTTGATCATTGATTTTCTTCTATTTTCTTTGTGAAAAATCAAATAGAGCAAGCGTTCAAGGTCTATGGATGAAACAATTAAAATCCGTTTGAAAAATAAAAATCAGAGACTGTCTTTTAGCAACTCTCTTATATCTTCCCCGTCCTGCATGAAGTCATTGTTCTGTTCATTTCTGCGGTCATCATCGTAATCGTTGAACGTTACCTCGCCAGGGTCACGCGTGGCTTCAGGATAAGGCTTCATAAGCCATGGGGAAATAGGATATGCACTGTCTCCTACTAGGTAAGGGCGAATATCTGTAATACCGATTCTTTCAACCGGTTCTCTGAGTATATCTTCGTTGCTTGCTCTTTGATAAAGAGAGCTGTTTCGATATACCCTAGCGTCGTGAAGACTTCCTGGATAACCCGTAGCAAAGTCAAGGAATAATCCCTTACCGTCAGAAACGGCCTGAATTATAAAATCATGTTGCTGATTTCGACTAAAGTAATCAACAGCACTGTCTCTGGGAGAAATTATTTTGATACGGGTCCCATCTAATAATAATAATAATAATAATAATAATAATAATAGTTTAATATTTGTAGTGCGCAAATTCCATTTACATATGATCAAATGCGCAATCTATGGCTCCAACAGTGTTTGGAAGTCGTGATTTGTCCGTAAATGTCTCTATACACCTCATTGTCTCAGCCACCGTTGTTGGGAATTTGATGTACTCGTTCCTCAATTCATAAAGAACCTCAACGACATCTTGACAAGCCTCTATTGCTATAGTTCTACCGACGTTTAGCGCAGGTCCTATTGTTTCGTACAAATTTCCATCTGCAAGTCGAAGCAAACCACAAGCAAGATCCTTTTCCGGAGTGAGACAATTTCGCAGTATTGTATTGTCTTGTCAGCCGGTTGCGAATTACGTTGAGCAACAAATCGAAGCTTTCTCTGTTCATTCGTAAAAGCCTTCGAAAGCAGTCCCCTGGTATTGTCCGATCAGTGTAATGGGTCTCGAACCACGATTCGACTGGACGAGGAAGAGTCCAATAATATGGTAACGATTTTGTCGACGGCGAATTCGTCGTGTCAATAGCAAGCTTTGTTTTTGTAAATTCTGCATAAATAACAGGCACCTTATCATTAAATTGATATTTGCCTGCTGCTGAATAACCAGAAAAAAGTAGAAAACAATCACTGCGAGAATTCTTCGTGGTAACATGTTCTTAGCTCCCTCGTGTCGCGGTTTTGTGGATGTAAACAGCGAGTGAAGGCAGCTTCGCGGGAAATCGCGGGCAATCGCAAGGCGCTCACAGCATGGTGTTGTGTTTTGTTCACGGATTTTGTTCTGAAGTGCGACTGTAGCCTTCCGGACAAATGTTTTGTCACTGGCCGATTTCAAGTCGGATTTGTCCAGCACAAATCTGAAATTTCCCTCTAGTGCGACTTGGCCCTTGGTTAGGCAGGGGAAGTTAAAGAACTCACTCACGAGATTACTGCGATGTAGTCTGGCCTGTTTACTTGGAGTTGGGGGGGAGGAGGTATCTTCAAAATAAGTTTCTTTCGATTGATTGTCAACTGCTGTTGCAGTTCGGAAAATTCCCCCAAAAAGTGTTGTGATGCGCACTTGATCATATCCAAATGTTAATTTGCGCACTATAAATATTAAATTATTATAATTATAAATTATTATTTTTATGCCCTACAATACCATTAAGAAAGAATGGACACGTCAGCTTTTGCTTAATCAAACTTGATTAATTTGCTTTTGTTTAATTTACTGCTGATTTATTCTTAGTATAGGCTGCTATTTATCTGACCATTACGGTGTCCAACCAGAAAGCCCTTGCTACCTTGGACACCATGTACATCTCAGCCCTATTTTTATGGCGAAATTTTACCTTTACTTTTTCTCTTTCTCTTATCTTTAATAACTCCTATAAATGTCATCTATAGTGTAAAATAAAGAATCGAATTGAAATGAGCTGAATCTTATTGCTATATTTCTAGTTTCTTTTCTCTTTACGAGATCGTTAATAGAGAGTTAACCTCTGGGCTTCCTTTTTCTTAATAACAATTCTTAGCGTAACAGTGCTTGTTATTTTCTTTAAAAAAGTATTGTACTGTATACACTACCCTTCTCTTCTTGACCAAAATAAGAGCAATCATATCAATGGAGACAGCATAAACCCAACTTGCGAACAGATTCTGTAAAATGCATGGAAAGGCTGGGAGAAATATTTCGATGGATTCATTCGTTGAGCACAAGAATAATTCCTTAACGTCAAACTTGGATCTCCTTGACCCAAATTTCAAAGAAGAGTCTGCCCAGAGAATAGAAAGTTTAATTGGTGTCACTGATGGTATTTTGATTGATGGTAGTGAGGATCAGGATTGTAAGAAATCAAAAGAAGATACCAGATTCAAACCTTTTGTGCACATGCCAGGAAGAGAGGGTTATCACTCCTTTCCAAAACTAAGAGCAAACCTTGCGAATGAAATATATTATAGAGACTTGTACAGGTGGATATAAACAAGGCTACACGAAGAGGCTGAGATTTATGAAAATTAATTGCTCTGAAGTTTCTTCATACTCAAGCAGACAGTATATAATAAAAGTCATAAACTGCAATTGCAATGCATTGTTTTCATTATACTTTAAGGCACGGAACGGTACGTAGTTCTTGCAATAACAAAGGATCACGTGTCCACATTTTTTTCTCAGCTTGAAGACGTTTAACTTATCAATTAAAAAAGATTTCCATTAGCCAGAAGGTATATAAACCTGAAGCTGAAATATTTTGTTTTGTCTCCAAGTTAAATAAATAAAAATGCAAACTCTGCTGCACTCAAAGTGAAGGTCAGCTGTAGAAGCAAGAGGAATATAACAAGGAGGAGTATATTGATAAACTGGATGTCAACACAACAAACTTGTTAAAGAACCTGAGGTTACAGGTCTCATAGAATGATAGGTATCGAGTGTCAAAGTAGCAACATCACTTTTAGTAGTAATTAGCTTGCCAAGCTTTAACATTACACTTAGCGGCAAGGTTGCAGGCATCATGGATGGTTGGGGGGGATTTTTACCTTCTATTCCCACAGACTTGCTTGGACTCGCAGGTGCTGATTGAGGATATTTGTCAACAGTGTTTACCACATGGCACATGGCATAAACACAAACCCAAAGTGCATTGTGGGATATTTAAAGTCGATGTCTGATGGGCTATGGCCTCTGTGGGCCTCATGGGCCACGTGCAAAATTTTTTTTCAATTTCGAAAAAAAGATTGTCTTATTTTTTTTTTTTTTTTTTTTTACTTTTTATTTTCTTTTGTTGTTATTTATCTTTTTTGCAAGATAATTACAGTGAGAAAATTTTAAAAACTAAATAGATAAAAATGAATAAATTAAAAAAGAAGAAACTGAAAGTAAAAGGAAAAAAAACATAACATAAAAACATTAACATAAGTAGCAAATAGTCTAGGGCCTAGCAAAAATCCTTGAGGAACTCCAACTCTTACAGGTTTTAGATCTAACATTGTTAACTTGAATCCTTTACATACAGTTGCTGAGATAATCATTAATCCAGTTGCACTTAACCTAATATACCGACTGCTTTAAGTTTTTTTGCAAGAATTATGTGGTCCACGCGATCAAAACCTTTGCGAAAATCAATGAATAAGACTCCAACCTTGTGACCTGCATTCAAAGCTCACCAAGATGGAGGAGAAATCTTTCAGTAAAGTATCCTTTCCTAAAACCCCATTGTTTATTAGTTAAGATACCATTAGAAATAATATGCGGTAAATGGTTTGAACCTGGGGGTAACATGTGAAAGTGTAGTGTGATCGTCCAGGTGGTGGTGACTGATGTTTCAACAACCTCTGCGGAAGTCATCATCAGAGTCAAGTGAATTGTTGTTGTCAGTAGAATGATCTTAGTCCAGTTTGTGTAAAACGATTGGTCAATTTTTCCGTTATGTTATTGGCTGTAAGACTCAAGCGACGTTAATCGGTCTTGATTAGTCTGTTTCAATCCTTTGTTAAAGTTAGGCCGTTCTGTTCGGTTCATTTGCAGCGTTAATATTGTGAATGAGTCATTTGTATGGAGCCGCTAGTAGTTAACACCTGTTTAGGGGAGTGGGTTCTAAGTAAGTAAACCAGCTTTCCAGAGTCGTCAGTGAAAGTAGTTAGTGCTGTGGGTTAGGCATTGCGCAGTCCCAGTCAATATTGTGGTTCGGAAGTCAATGATGTTCAGCAATGTGATTGGTGACCTCTCCTCGTGGCTCATCTGTGTTCAGTCAGTCTTGTTGCGAGGTTTCTTCCAGTCTCTGATGTAGGAGGCTTGGCAGTCGGAGCAATTGATCTTATAAATTGCTCCCTGTCTGTTCCTCGGTTCGCCCTTGTTTTTAACGTTGGTTAGTAACTGATGTAGTGTGGTCATGAGTTTGTGGACAACGCGGATATTGAAGGGTTGTAAGATGCACGAGATGTTCTCAGACATGCCTTTTACGTACGGTATGGTTGCTGTAGTCGTAGGAGTTGCGGTGTCGTTTCTTTCGGTAGTAAAGATATTTGTTCTAATAAGATAAGCTGCCTGTCCTGTTGCATACTAGTTGTGCGCATCGTGTTAGAGTTCTGATAGTTGTGGCTTTGTGTGATGTAGGGCTGTAGGATGACTCATCTAGTAATCTGTCGGTTTCCTGTATACTGTCGTTCATAGTGAGTTGTCGTCACAGCTTAGCAGACAGTCTAGAAAAGGAGGCCATTTTCCTCGACTTCTCTGGTAAGCTGTATGTCAGTGTTTCGTCCATCAAGGTGGTGGCGGAATGCGTCAGGTTTGTTGTGTCCTAAGGCGATGAATGTGTCGTCAATGTAGCGTAATCAAAGCGGTATCATTTGTGGGTAAGTCGATGGGCCCTTTCGACCTACCCACAGACGATGCCGGTTTGGTTACGCTACATTGACAACACATTCACTGCCGTACAACACGATGAAATTGACGCATTCCACCACCACCTTAACGGACAAAACACTGACATACAGTTTACCAAAGAAGTCAAAGAAAATGCAAACTTGCTTTTCTAGAATGTCTGGTGAGCCGTGACGACAACTCACTACGGACAACAGTTTACAGGAAACCGACACACACCGACAGATTACCAGACAAGTCATCCTTCAACCCTACATCACACTAAGCCACAACTATCAGAACTCTTACACGATGCGTGCAACAAGTATGCAACATGACAGACACCTTATCCAATGAGAACGAATACCTTTACCGTGGTCTTTCAAAGAACAACTACAACCACCACTTCATCCAATGAAACACTCACTGCCCTACTACTACTACCAAAACAAACGACACCGCAACTCCTAAGACTACAGCAACCATACTGTACGTAAGAGTCATGTGTAAGAACATCTCACACATCTTAAGATTCTTCAACATCTGCATCAACCACAAACCCATCACCACACTACGTCAGTTACTAACCAATGTTAAAGACGAGGACGAACCGAGGAACAGACAGGGAGCAATTTATGGGATCAATTGCCCCGACTGCCCAGCCTCCTACATTGAAGAGACTGACAGAAACCTCGCAACAAGACTGACTGAACACAGACGAGCCACAAGGAAAGGCGATGTCAGCAATCACATTGCTGAAGATCATCGACTTATAAACCACAATATTGAGTGGGACTCGGTGCAATGCCTAACCTACAGCACTAAATACTTTCAATGACTGACTCTGGAAAGCTGGTTTACTAACTTAGAACAGACTCCCCTAAACAGGTGTTAACTACTACCGGCTGCATACAAACGACACATTCACGGCATTAACATTACAAATAAACCGAACAGAACGACCTAACTTTACCGAAGGATCAAAACAGACCAATCACAACCGACTTACGCCACTTCAGTCTTACCACCCAATAACATCACGGAAAAATTGACCAATCATTTTAAACAAACTGGACTAAGAACATTCTACTGACAAACAACTGTTCACTTGATTCTGATGATGACTTCTGCACGGGTTGTTGAAACGTCAGTCACCACCACGGAGAACAATCCTTCTCAGGACAACACTCGCCCAGACAATCACACCACACTTTCACAGGAATAATATGATTATCTAAAGACTTGCATACTACCCTCTCCAGTAGTTTCTCTGAAGCACCAAGCAAAGATATTGGTCAAAAATTGTTAGTATAGGGTCAAAAAGATAGGTATAACTGAAGATTCTTCCCACTACTGAGGGAACTTACAACAATCATTGCTCTTTTTTAAGACTTCAAACAATTCTTGGATAATAGATCAGGTGAGATTTGATCTGGTCCAAGTAATGTAATCTATTGCCCTGATAGTCCAAATAGCAACAATTTTGAACTAAAATTGAGGAATCAAATTAATATTTAATTAATGGACATTCTATACCTTTTTAATGGTATTTCTGTGATTTTTATATATTTTTTCATGAACTTGCATTTATATTAATGTACATTTTATTTTTTATTGCTATATTTTTTATAGTTCTTCTTTATCTAGGATATGAAATCCTTAATATGGGTTAACCATTAGAAAGATAAGGGACTGCCTATCTCTAGCAGATACTGAAAAGTTAGTTCATGCATTCATTACATCTAAGCTAAATAACACCAACTCGCTACTATACGGACTACTCAAAGTCCTGATAGATCGCTTACAAAATGTCCAGAATGCCGCAGCTCGTGTCGTCACTCGTACAAGAAAGTACGACCACATCAAACCTATCTTAAAGCAGCTGCACTGGCTCCCAGTTAGCCAGCGCATAGATTACAAGATACTACTTCTGACCTACAAAGCGCTCAACGGCCAGGCCCCTAGTTACATCATTGAACTGTTGAAGCGACTCAAATGAAAATAATCTAATTTCTCTAAAGAGAACGCCGTAAATTACTTGTCTTTGAAACTTAACCATAACGAAAAGTTTTCTCCGTCACGCTATTGTGATAGCCTGACAGCGCGAGTTTATTTGTTTGTTGCTTTGATTGTTTTCGTACTCTTGGCGAATAATATGCTGTCCAAGGTTCTCTGTTATATGCATGTGACTCCTGCTTACGTAACGAAGCGTTACTTAAATATGAAGGCTACAGATGCACAGATAACTGTTTTATTTCTGGACTGGTTGCCAATGGTAACATCAGCACAGTCAAACCGCAAAGCAAATAAATGAATTGCGTTTTAATTATGAAATTACACTTTTAAAGGGCTAAAATATTCGCAGCGAGATGTTACTTACAATGCTGTTGGGTAATCCATGCATCTTTGCACGGCTCTTAACATGTTCTTTTAGTGGATGTGTTCGTTTGATTGTTAGACAAGTATTTAGATTCGTTGCGCCTATTTAAATATAAAAAAGCTAATTCGTCCTCAGACTCTTTGTGACTGCATTTTGGCGCCAAAACGAATCAGCTACAAAAAATGTTATATACTTGAAGTGTAAGTTGAAATTCTTGGTGCAAATCAGCTTGTGTTGACAGAAACAGACTAACTGCTCACGTTAGGCATTGAGAAAAATACAACAAATCTATGCAGTTGAGACTCTTTCCTTGTTCTCATACCCTCATCTAATCACGAGCGAGGCTGGGAGAATTCTCCAAAGTTCTTCAAACAGTATCTCAGTTGTGAGTCTTGATTTTACTATTAAATTTATACGGTAACGCGTTTTCACACGGCGATTTTAACACATCATGGAGAGCAGGATTAAAAAAGAATATGTAATGGTTTTTCAAAATTCTGCGAAGCTTTCTTGAATTCAGTCCTGTTGCGTTTTCCAAAGTCAATAGTTTGGGCAAATTAAGTATTCCACAAAACATTTGGTTGACCGAAGTAGACTGAAGTTTTGGGAAATTTAAAAAAATATTTCTCCATGCATTGCCGAGAGAAAAAAACTCTGTTGCTGTATAGCTTTGAACTAGATCTTTTTCAAATTTCTCGTGTTAGGCTGGTGTAGCAGTCTCGCCTTTCAGAGCAGTATTCTGCGCCATTATTAGCATTCACTGCGCCTAAATTTTTACCCTTTGACATATGATGTAAACACGTCAACACATGTGCTACTTCAGTCCGTTACTGTACAAAAAGCATTCCAAGCAAAACCAGTTAGAATTTTGAGTAAT